TGTTTCCGTCTTCAGGTGAGAAAGGAAGACACGTACTCAGTTGGGCCCCTTAGAAAGAAGTAATCTCAATCACTGGAACGAAGACGGAAACAGATCCAGTTTCCGAAACGTCGTGTCCTCTATTACCTAGAATTCCGGACGATGGAAAAAGTCCAAAAACCCAGTAATTCTGTGAATGTAATTTTTATTACACAATCAACGCTGATTGTATTGTTCGAATTGTATGTTGAAAACACAACAGGATGCTAAAGTCAGAGATCATAAATACACATCATGCACGAATCGTCAATAAATTCACAAAAATTTAGTTATATTGATGGTGTTATAAGAATTATATATGTAAAACACAACAGAGTGCTGAAATCAATGATTATGGTTAGTAACACAAGACCATATACACCATGGTTAAGTGGTTATGTCCACCCTTACCCTGTGATTTTCACGCTGTGAAGCGACGTTTGTGTAGCACAACATGTTGCAGTTTCCCTGCCCTTTACAGATGGGTTTCCTGACGTACTCGTAACATGTGCTCTGCAGGAGGGGCTGGCTTCTCCTGTCCCACGAGTGTTGCTACGTCTCCGTATAACATACAACTAGTTAGGCCTCATAAACTTGACTTTAGTAGAACGGTGATATTCGCTTGGGAATAATTCAGAGACAGGGAACTGAACAACGAATTATTCACTCAAGCAACAGATTGTTTCATAACCATTTTCAAATACGAAAACAATCTACATAGAGTACAGCACCAAATAGACAATATTAGTACTAGAAAAGTATCAATAGACAAGGCACTTAATGAAGCCTTATAAACTATGGTTTGGAAATGTACGAAAATAAGCTCTAATCTATGTTTGTATATACAGACTTAAGGGAGAAAACGTCGTGCGTGAGTAGGTCTGAAAATAGGTCTGATACTAGTGTATCCTTGAGCTACTATTTAGTGTTCTTTGACAAGGCTGTTCCGTACGAAGAGTGAAAGTTTTTATTTTCTGTTTCCATGATTAAGTTGGTAGTAAGCTGTATGTTCATTTAATATCAACTTCCCCTTCTACCGAAATAAACTCTTCGGGTTTTTTGCAAATGTCTAACCACTGTTTCGCGAAGTAAATACTTGATATATTAGTTTCTAAGAAGTGAGTATTTAAGCAATAATACACCTGTGGTAAGTCACATAGGAGAAAGGGGATGATTAAAGCAATATTGAAGAAAGCAGTCTTCTGGGATTTGGCACCGTGTATATGTGGTGTTAACCGACGTTTCGGAGGAACGTATCGCCTCCATCTTCAGNCAATATTCTTCTCCAAAAAGACCATGGCCTCAGTTACTAGCTCTGAAAACATGAACTTCATAAAGTGGCGGAGACGATTTGACCTCTGTTATAGGGTAACAAAATGCTTACAAATTTGCTCGGCCTCTCTTCGGCATTCTGTTAGCTAGCTGAGTGAATCTGAGGGTACCGTGAATCAATTCCGATTGTCATTTTTGTAAAGATCAGTAGATCGATAGCTATAAAACTTGAACCTCATGCCACTGCGTATCTCTCATTCTTGGTGCTGATGTTCTACGTTGGATTGTACCAATATGGCCATTGCGCGAATTTGTGAGGTTGGAGTGGCATGAGACCCACTACATAACGTCAAGTGCTGAAACTTTGCATAGTAATATACCCGGTGAAGAAATTATGCTGCTTTTTTGAAGATGTTGTTTTAGAATATAAACAAAAACATTGAGGCTCTCGAAATCTGTGGGCTTTGATGGTGGTCACAAATGTAGGATTGAAGTCCGGAATGTGACCATTCGTATGAAAACTGTTCATTAAATTAACCTGAAATTGTATATTAAACAGATAAGGCCGCGCCATAGCTCAAGCAGTTAGTCGCTGGCTTCCCACCGCGGCGGCCCGGGTTCGATCCTGGGTCTGGTCAAGTGGGATTTGTGGCCCTGTGGCGGGTTTTCTCCGATTACTTCGGTTTCCCCTGCCAATCTTCATTCCACCAAATTCTCCATCATCATAATCACACGGGGCAGGCTACAATAGGCCAATCAGTGGCCGCCGTGCCGAGTGGACCCAGTTGAACTCCACCCCACCCCCCTCAAGCGAATATTAAAAACATTGCAGATTTCAGAATGGCGTCGAGAAAAATTTCTGACAGATTTAAGATAATATGATGTAGATCCTTCTCAGGCACACCATAAAAAAAGTCTGAGCCGTGTAGATTACGCAATCATGATTCAAACCGGTTTACTGCGGTGATCTGAACAGATACATCGTTTGTAGTATATGGTATCTGAACTGTGATGATGGTCACAGCGATGTGAGATAAGTGCATTGGTACCGGAGCTTCGAATGTGCATAGGGCCTATAGTGGCAAGGATGACACAATAGTGCAGAAAGCATTGGCGGAATGGTGTCTGTCAGGAAAAAAATCAGAAGTACTCGGGAGAAAAACTTGAGCAAGTGCCGCTTTGTACACCGCAAACCCCGCATGGGCTACGTTCAGATTAAACGTTGACCCCAGCAGTAAGAAGCGGGGGAATAACCGCCAGAGCTATGACACGCAGTCACGTGCAACCGTTCGGAGCGCAGTGGTAACAGTATGCAGGCTTACTGTCTGTTTTAACTTTTAATAACTTTTTTGCGTTTTGTGGGAGGAAGGAACCAAGTTCTAAATAATATGTAGACGAATTTCAAACTACAGTGTATTAAAGTATGGTATTGTAGTTGGTTGAGGCACTATGCTACAAGCTGTAGGTCGCGGGTTCAAGTCCCGATGAGGTCATTGGATTATTTTTCAATTGACCTAATCCTTCCAGCCGCACTATGGCCCTGGGGTCGACTCAGCCTCTAACAGAAATGAGTACCGGGAATATCCTTGGGGGTAAAGGGCGGCCGGCGCCTAAGGCTGACAACCTTGCCGCCATCTATGAGCCAATTGTCTACAAAATGTGGGAACTTGAACACCTCACAACCCTATGGGCCTCCACGGCCTGTTACAGGGATAGCTTTACTTTTTATTTTACTCTATTAAGGCTTACTGAAGTGGTTTTTATGGCATATTCATGTATAGTGTTCAGTATAAATCCGGCGGGAAGTTGCAAATGCGTGTTTATGTGTGATAACGATTTTTGCTTTGTGTGAAAGCTGGAGAGAGATAACCACTGCTTGATAGGAGCTGCTGACTGTTGTTTACAAAGTCTCTAGTAAAGTGTTATGTATTAAATGTACAGTCAAGTTTTTAGGTTCTTTAGGAAATAGAAAAAGTCATGTTAATTTCATTCGTTCGTCTGTCAACTAGTAACATGGCCCAAACTATGTGACTCAGTGAAGTTCAGCATCGTAGACCTACACTAAACTTTGTCAATCCAAGTTTTTCTTTTATATACGTAAGACTATTCTAAGGGATTCTTTAAGGATATGAAATAGACGTAATTAGCTTTTACATTTTA